TGTAAACTGAGAATCTGAAGAACAGAATGGTTAAAAACCATCAGCACTCAATTACAATCTGTCTGCATCATACTGTGACATATTCATAAAACAATTCACGCTGAAATGTGTTGCCAAACAGGGATCTTGGGTCTCATTCACTAATAATTGTGTGGATTACTAATTCACAACATATGTGTACGTACACAAATATGCTCTTAACCTTGTTCTAATGTTAATGAATTTGGAGTATTCTAAATGAACAAACTCATGTCTGAGGTCAGTCCTTTGCATATTTTTTAAACACGTAGGACATGATGGAAATAGTTCCCAAATTGTAGGCCTCTCGCACTAGTTGGATATATATAGCTGTCACCGCCAGCTGATGTTCAGGGCCACCTATGCATTAAAACTAGTGGTGTAAAAATTAGCGCGTTAACGCAGGCGATTCATTCTTTCAGTTTAACGCGTTAAAAATATTTAACGCAATTAACGCAGGGGCGGGGCTAGGGTTGGCCACCCCACTCACAACTGCTGCTTCTGTCACTTTTTCTTTTGACAAGAAGTGAATTTTTTCAGTCGCAGAACGACTGAGAATGGGAGACGTTTCAGAAGCGCGCTCCACTTTACTTCAGCGCCAGGCGCGAGTCAAGCGAGCACGGAAACGGTACTGTGCTCGCAGCGCGTGCTCTTCAATTGCAGGCACAAAGGCACCTGCGCGCTGTAGCCTGTATCCTTTCATATCAAAGCGCCAAATAAACTACGTGCATTAGGGCTGTCAAAAAAAAATTCGAATTTCGGACATTCGTCAAATTTTTTTTAAAAATGCAAAAACAAGAAGTGCATTTATTCAGTCGCAGAACGCGTTCGCGTCTTCACTTCAGCGCCAGGCACGAGTCAAACGAGCACGGAAACGGTACTGTGCTCGCAGCGCGTGCTCTTCAATTGCACGCACAAAGGCACCTGCGCGCTGTAGCCTGTATCCTTTCATATCAAAGCGCGAAATAAACTACGTGCATTAGGGCTGTCAAAAAAAAATTTGAATTTCGGACATTCGTCAAATTTTTTTTAAAAATGCAAAAACGTTGCATTCGAATTTTAGGTCTGCGTCAGCCGTCAGGCTGCCTTATCAGTGGCGCACTAAATGCTATGACAATGTATGTGTCATTGCATTTTAATGCTTTTGTTAGCCTATCCAGTTGAACCAACTAGATGCGTCGCTGCTACGTTGTTCATTCAATATATAGTGGAAAACGAGAGCATCAGTGTGGCGAATATGTTGTTTACAGTGAAACTGAAACCAAGCCGTTCACACAGAACGCATATTTATCACATTTTCTAGGGGGGCATCTATCAGCATTGCACTCACGTCTCGCACAAGAGAGTGGCATGTTTAGAAAGCCATGTAAAATTAATGTAAGTTCAACTTTTAAAAAAAAATGTCTCAAGACTTTATGGTGGTTTTCCCCCATCTCACTGTATCTCATGTTTTTAAATGAAGAAAGTAGCCTACTCTTTGTGATTGGTTTCCGGTCCTTTGTATTAAACTATACATACTGTTTTTTTTCTAATTGTTTAAGCAACTTAATTAATTATATATGGTTTATAAACATTATTTTAAACATTATGCACTTTTTTTCAAAGATAGTCGTGTTATTTTATTACGCTTTGAAGAA